AACACTTTCAAAATTAGGTAGTTGTTTTAAATTGTTTATTTAAAAAAGGCTTTTCACATATCCTAAGCTCTTTATCATATATTGTGAGGAACCAATTAATAGCAGTCAGTCAGGACCAAAAAAATAAAGACCAAAAAGAGGGGTTTTATTTAACCAACAAAGAACAAAGTTGAATAAATCAACTAGTAAAAGATAACATTAACTCAGAGCTCATCAATAAAACAAAAGATGAAAGTTAAATAGAACCTAATAAACCTACAAAGACACTTAAAGAGGGGTTAAACACACAAAAACTTACTGAAACAACTTCTAATATGTAGTATGAGACAATATGTAAGTCTTCATTCTGGCATACTACTCCTCATTTCTCACTTCTTGAGCCTGGAGTAGATTCCACTGAGGAAACTCAGAAAAAAAATATTCATTTAATTATTTAAATTAAACCTAAACCCTTTTTTAATCTGTAAATTAAAACCTGTAAATACGAAAGTAAAATATAAGTGAAGTGAAATGGGCCGTTTTGTTTGGCACGCATTGTGATTGTGTGTATATGTACGTTCATGCTCAAACTAGAATAACTACACATTTACAGATGCGCTTCCTTACATACAGTACCTTCTACTCAAACATTACTTCCAACAACAGTGTTCTTGTTTTCAATCAGTTTGATTCAGGGTTTTTGTATTAAATGCCAGAATTGTGACAGGGATATGTACATCTTTTTAGATTTGTACTCTCTTCATATCGAGGCATTATTTTTGCATTAAGATTACTGTGCTTTTTAGCAGTCTGGGAAATCCTAAATAAGGGATGGGGAACTCATGTCCTTAAGAACCATTGTCTTCCAATAAAATGTTTTCTTGGTCCAGCACACTTGCATCAAATGTCTGAATTACATCCTCAGTTTGCCGGTTCTCCAGAGTGCTGCAATCATCTAATTATTCCATTGAGGTGTGTTGAAGCAGGGAAAAAAATAAGTGTCAGGACACTGACCCACGATGACTTGAAAATGACTTGATGGGCGGACAAATGCTGAAAAGCCAGTCGAACAGGAAGAAGCAAGTTGTTTCAAGAAAAAAAAATACAGTACAAAGTAATGCAGTGTTGAAGGAAATGCTATCAACTAGTGACTTTTTCTATCTGTATGTACCAGATGTAACCATTCAGCCACAGTCATATGCTTTTGTACAGAAAGTTGGCTTGCATAAGTTCCCGTCCACTATTTTCTTTCTCCCATACTGTTACCGCTCCCTCTGGCCCAGTTGCTCCTTGCTGTTTTTCTCTCTTTGAGTCCAGGGTCAACATGATGAGGCTCGGTCATAAATGAGAGCCTGGAAAAGAGTTTGGAAAGGGGCCAGACTACAGGGCCACCTGAGATCACTGCTGCTCTCCACAGGACTCATTGGCTACAGAGACAGGAAGCTGTAATTAGGACTGGAGGAGGTTTAGCACTCTCATGCTCTACTCTTCTCTACTCCTCTCTGTCTCTCTCTCTTTCTGTTAACAAAAACATTCAAGCATTAAGAGACCAAAACTCATAATAACATGCGGTTGAGAGAATTGTAGCCCGCAGATCTGAGGCAATTTAATGCTTCATTTATTTACCTTAGCTGTTGTGTGTTTCCCACAATCCGTCTGAAACATTGTGTACAAGAATATTGTCAGACATGTTAGAAGAAAGCTATTCAGACGATAATGTTTGTTAGTAATTATTTGAGTTTCACTACAAAATGAAGAATAAAACAAAATGTCATGCTCTGCTTTGACGCTTTGTAAATAACAACCTTACTAAAGCACTGGACCACCTTCTGCTTAAGTAATGATAGCAACACATCAAAAAAAAAAAAGGAAATGGGAGAATTTTGTAATCAGACATGCAAAGAAGGATTTTGGTTTGTCGTCATGATATAAGTGAGAACTGGATAAACCAGTAATAGGAAATTAGATATCGTTGATACCAGTAGATGTGTGTTACTTTTTAATGTTTATTGTTGTGCAGCACATTTTATTCAGTAAAATGAAAATTTATTTAGTCTTTTTTGTGTTAAAACTATTTGTTTATTTAGAAAGATTGTTTGTTATAAAACTAAAAAAACTAGGAAATACTTAAGAAGTGGGGGGGGAAGGGATACATGTTTTGTGTCCATTATGTTTAAAAAAGGAATAAGTTAAAAAACATTTAGTGTATTTGCATGGATTGTTCTTAATGAAGGACTGATTGGAATAAAAATGCACTACGTAAACAAGTCAACTGAAATATTGTGATGAACTTCAGCTCCATCTGAATAAAAATGTGTTCCGAAACAAGAAGGGCAGTTTATGCAGATCCTTAATGTGAATAGTGTGCATCCAAACACTTGATTGGGGAAAACTGACCTGACATGGCATGGTATGTGGAGGAAGGAGCAGCAGCGTTGGGCTGCACAGGTCTTTGATTTGAATTTTTAATTTCCCTCATTCTGTACCACAGGAACACAATTGGCATCAGTTGCTTAGCCTCTTGCTAAATTATGGAAAGCAGTAATGCCTTAACCACTTTTGGAACATTTTCTTAAAGCCATGTTTGTTTGCAACACTTGTGCGTTTATTTTGGGAAACATGACAACTCAAAGTGGATCTATTCTTATTAAAGCCAATTTTTTTAAAAGACCCGCCCTCACTACTTAAAAAAACATGCACTGAAGGAACGCCTACTAAAGGCGTGTGAGAGCACACATAAGCCCATTTCTCCTTGAGGAGGTGCGGGGACGCAATAAGATGGTCGCTTGGATGGAACTCATCTCACCCATATTTACATTTAAAAAGTTTTCCCGCAAATAAGACTACTGGAACATTAAAAATGTTATAACCTGCTTGTGTGTGTGTGTATGTGCTGCAGTGGAGACTTGGACGTGTTTGCAGGGTAAATGAGGATCTGTGGCAACTGTATAACTACTTATTATGCAAATTACAAAACACATAAACTTATCTTCCCTGGAAAGTTGCAATGTAGAGGTAGATAACTTTTACTAGTTATGTGAATTGGATTTCTCATAATAGCATGCCAAACTTTACCTGTCGAAACTGAGTAGAAACTTTACATGGTATCAGTGGGAAGCATGACCTGTCCTTTCAGTATACGCCATCACTTAAAAGAATCTCCCAAAAACACTCTGGTCATGTTTTTCTCTTCTGAGGCCTTTCTTTTCTTCTCATAGACTTTGTAGACCCTTTTTCTCTTACGACCACTCGGCCATTTTCAAAGAACCACGGTGAGAAAGGCAAGCTTCAATGACTGTCTGAAACCGTAGCTCACCACATATACACGCCTTAAAGTGCGAATGCCTATAAAAAAAAATTGCTAACAGGACGAACATGTAGGAAGGCCTTAAAGAAGCATATCACCAGAATGATTGACAATTAGGAGGACCACTTATTTAGGTGATGCACCTGGAAAAAGAATATCCTCCACTATACCCTTAAACCTAAAGTGAGGTATTAAAAAAATAAAAGGGCTTGTGCATGGGCAATATGTATAAAAATGCTTTTATTTATACATTGATTGGGTTTATTAATAATACACTAATTTTAAATTAAAATAAATGAATTCATTTGAACTTTTGAGGGCAGTATGACAGCATTCAACAAGCCAAAATGTGTGAGTTGGCCTGCTGCCATTGATGTATTCAGTCATCTTTTGAAATGACATTACCATTAATTTCTTCAAGCTCTCAAAGTTTCATTCAATATAATCCGAATTTCATTCAGTATTTTCCAAGTTAAATTCAGAATATCATTCAAAATATATACTTTTAATTTAATATATTCAAAATATAATTCAATATATTCTATTTCTATTCATTATATTTACACTCATGTCAATATATATACAAAAGGGGCTGCTTCAGTTCCAGAAAGACTTAATTAATTTTGCTGTCTACAGGATTCTTCTGAAAGATGATGTCAAGCCGCTTGGGATATAAAAATATAGTTTAACCCACGAAAATGTCACTTTCAAATAACAAAAATAACTAAATGAAGGTTTTGTGCTGATGCTACATTTGATTAAAAAAAATTATTAATTGTGGTTCAGTTGCAACAAATTATGTTCATAGGGTGATCGGTTAGTGCACCAAGTTGGTTCAAATAGGTTGTTTACCCTCAAGAAATTAAATCTTTTGAAAATATTTGGAGTTATATTTGTTTTAATAGAACATTTAATTTAATCCAAAAAAAAACCATCCTATTTTACAGCATCTTTATGGGTTACTGAGGATATACAGCCACATATGAGTCATCTGGGTATATCTTATTTTGCCTGGTAACCTGCGGTTGGATGTGGCTGGTGAGGCTTTGGATTCCTGTAAGATGAGGTTTGCTGCTCAATATATTGAGCTTGTGGCTCATCTAAGTGATGATTGGGATCTTGGGAGTTGGTCAGATGAGTGGCTTTCACTTCTGTTTTTTTTTTTTTTGTTGTTCCTTGCCCTCCTGCGGTTAGAACAGGGCTTACTGTCCCAGTTGTGTGTAGGGAAAAGTGGGCATTGCTTTAAAGGTATGAACGGCGCCCCTTCCACCACTTCGTTGCATTAAGTTTATCAGTAGTTTTAACTTGACCCTGCCACAAAAGAATTTTATTGGAAGCTTGGTAAACCAGATTATAAACCTGAAAAGGAATGTTATTCAATTAGCAATTCTGTTGGTGTGGAGCCGGAACCAGAACCATCCACCAGCTCCACAGTGAACAGTCAGGGTCATGGATGTGTTGGGATTATTTCAAATTGTGCTTGAGGCTCCTCTTAATCATTGCTGTAGTTCCTATTTATTTAAACACAGCGCGATTTAAGCTGTAAAGATTGGTTTGTGCTTGTAAGTTTTGACAAATGCCCCTTCTTGTTGAGTGTGACATAATCAAATACTTTTTTGAAGGCAGGTTTTTTCTAGAAACTGTGAATCACATCTCTGAATACAGACTCATGCCTTTTTTTTTTGACTCAAACTGTTTCCAATCCTCTCCTTAGGGTCCTGTTTGTAACGGACACAAAACAGACGCATGGGTAGGAAGAAATAAAGGCACCAGCTCAGGTGAGTGTTTAACATCTCCACTGTAACTGTCCACTCGTTTCCCTACACCATGGAGCAGTAACTTTGATGTTTGTTTTACAGGCCATCCTGCTCCTCTCTGGACTAAGTCCTGACTGTTGGCTTAGGTGGTGGGCCAGCAAGACTGGTGTCTATGTGAGCGAGAGGGTATGAAGTCCAGCATGAAGCAGTGGCGTAGGCTGTTGTTGGTGGCCATGCTGGCCTGGGTTCTCGTCTTTCTTGCTCTTCTCTCCTACTTCCTGGATGCTCGTGTGGATGAGCCTCTGACCTCTGCTGGCTCTTTACTCTCCCAGCATCCTGACACTAGGCGGTTGACCTCCATACAAACCTCCAATCAGCAGCTGGCCATCTTTGCTTTAAGACCTGAACCAGCTTTGCAGTTAACTACAACATATCTCAGAAACAAGCCAGGACCAGAACCTTCCACCAGCTCTATACCCTCTGACACCAGCATGGAGGTAAGCCAGAGCCCTTACGGTAGTCAGGAAGCAAATCGGCAGGACTACCTGGACCCGCAAAGCCTGGCTGCCTGGTCCTCCTTTGGGACAGAGAATGTGGGGTCCAATTCAGACCCTGCAGTCCAGAGTCGTGAAAGAATTTACCAGAACCTTGACAGTACCACTCAATACCATGGGGGTGAGGATGAAGAAGATGGTAGAGAAAATGAAGGAAAAAATATTAGGACTGCAGTAGATGGAAGAACTGGTGGAGAGTCCTCTGATTTGGAAGATTACTATTTCTCCAAATCTGCCTCTGTGGTGCAGCGGCTGTGGAAAGGCAGAGCATCTGCTGGCATGCTGAGTCCACGACTGCAGCGTGCCATGAAAGACTACATGAGTGCCAACAAACATCATGTTTCCTACAACGGACTTCGGAAAGGATCTCAGAGTGCAAAAGAACTACTGTGTCAAATGAAAGCCCAGGGTCAGCTAAAGACTGTGGATGGATTGGAGGAGCCCTTCTCTTCTCTTGGCTGGGCTGACTTTGTACCGTCCCATCCCTTGGATCACCTGAACAAACAACTGAACAAGAGTAACTTTAAAAGCTGTGCAGTGGTCACCTCTGCGGGCGCCATCCTGCGCTCCGGACTAGGCAAGGAAATTGGTGAGTAAAGTGACTTAATGCCCGGTTCATGTTTATAATTTGTCAGATGCCACTCATCCTTGTGCTACATTGACATAAACGCATTTAACTGAAACATCAGGAGAGGAATAATTTTACAGGTGAAACAGCCTTCAGCTGGTAGCTAAAAGAAGTTTATGTTCCGGTTATTAGCCTTAGGAATAATGCAACCTTTTAACACCTCTTATTATCTTAGGTGTCAAGTAGGTGACCCTCTGATAGGTGACATTATACAGTAGTAGCCATTCACAATTTCCCCACTTTCCTTGATGGGTCCTTGGCTAGTCTCCTACAATTCCCTTTTACTGAATGTCATGATTTGTGGACATTAAAATCTAAATAGAAGCGTTATCTCCTGGTCAGACCCTGTAATTCAGTGAAAGGGTGGAGTCAGACTAAAAAAATATGTACACCCATGAGAAGGCCAGTGGCTGGAAGTTGGAGACGATTTTGCTGCCATTCGGCTGGCTTTTGACTGGGAAAGGCCATTTTGAATTGCTGCTACTATAGTTGGTATTCGAATGATAGGCAGCAGAATCAAATTTTGATCTGTGTTTTATTGTTTGCAGAGAGTGTTAGTTGATTCTAGATTGCAGTGACAAATGAAGGATTCACATGTATTACAGTTGATTGGGCATGGGCGCTGAATAGCAGGTATGAACTGGACATTTGGTTGATGATTAAAGGACTATCTACCCCTTAATTAAACCTGTTTTGCTAATAAACTGTATAAATAGATGTCGTTTAGTGCCGTCTACATTTCCTGGACATTAGTTTTACATTTTACTGCACATGTGTTGAAATCCTGCCTTGGCGCCTTCCCCAGGCTTAATAGAGGTTACTGAATCAGATTTTGCTATTGACTTTGCCTGCGATAAGCTGTATTTCAAGAAAACCAATTTCAGCAGCTCTACCCTGGGCAGTGTCTGTCTGCCGGCTGACTCCTCCTACACACAGCGGTTACCTTAGAGACCGACAACAAAGGAAAAGGAAAATAAATTATGATTTACTTCACTAAGAACGTCAATAAAAACTTAAATTAAATTAAAATCAGATAAGAAAAAAAGTCAGAATTATCCTTTCAGTCTTGTATATTGCTTTAACATATATTTTTTTTTTTTTGCCAATCAGTCACATGACCTGGAAGCCTTTAAAAAACATTAATTTCAAAGGAAAAGGATTAAAAGTTAAAGGAAAATACAAAAAGTTGGACAAAAAGAAACGTGCTTGTAAATATTGAGTTTACTTTAATTCAGTGCATCACAGGGCAATTATTTTGTATTTTTTTGAATCCTTTCAGATATTTTCTGACAGCATCCAGTTATAACACAGTATGTGTTCGCATTTGACTTACGTACAAACAAGAGTCCAAGATGAAGTGTTAGATTGCCTTTTGATGCCTAAAATAGACTTGTGAACACTGCATTAGTGTTGCTCCATATGCAAGAATGACAGAACCCAATAGAAAAGTATTTTCTATGTATTATTTATCATTTGTTTACCTACAAACTACAGAAAAAAAAAAGCATGACTTCTGTTTTCTTGGTAATAGGAGCCTTTCTGAAGCAAAGCCTCTGTGTGAGATGGTGTTTACTCATACTTTACAGCCACTACAAAACACTATAATGCACCACAGACAAAAGTAATATCCTGGAGAAACGTCTGTACCATTTCGAATATTAAGATATATGTTTGGAGGAAATTGCAGTGTTATCCCACAACATGTTGACTGTGGCGCAGGATGTGTTTCCAGGGATACCCTGAATCCAAAACAACAAGGAGCACTTTGTTGTGAGTGAAATAACAACTAGATGTTTTCTAAAAGTATGATGGTATGCACTGGGAAATCAGATTTTCCTGGGGGAGAAAAGAATCTCTTAGATTGGTATTCTGACATTTTCAATGTTTTATTTTAATTACTTCTGCATGATTTTGATTCTTTAGACCACATGGCAGCTCAGTTGGAATTAGGCTAAAGCATTCAGAAAAAGACTCACAAGGTCTCATAAAAATACTGCAGAATTTACAAGCAAAATCTGTGTATTGAAGTGTATAATGAAGCAAATGTACTATTAAATAAGAAGTTAGACAAATTAATATATTTATAACATTCAATTATTGCGGTTATATTAAATGCAGTTAAAGTTACAACAGTTTTGTGTTGTTCAATTATTAATTGATGGAGGCTGCTATATTCATTATCTACAATAGAGCTGTCTGTTTTGAACAGCTGTTCTACAAGGTTGAAGATCATCTTAAAAAAACCTGAAATAATTGTCAGCCAAATACACATTGGTTACCTTCTAAGAAGCCTTTTAATATCAAATCATTTGCAGAGCTTAAATAAATAAATGCTGATATTTTAGGAGGTTTTGCATGTGGCCTGTTATTTTTCTGTGTCTATTGTGGGAGAGTTAGTCTATCCAAGCCAGGACATGCTGGTGAGTTGGGGACAATCTACAGTAAACTATTAAGTGATGCTGATAAATGTGTAAAAGCACCTCTACATAAAGGCATACATTACATGAATATAAAGGATAATGTATAGACAAGTTTTCTATAAAGAAGGCAACCTGCAGATCTGTAGTAAGTTATTAGAAAATAGATTTGATGCTACTAGCAATGGCCCAGGAGCACTGCTCAAAAATAATGACAGGGGAAACATTGCTGTACACCACACTGAACTCACCATCCCCACAGCGAAGGGTGTTGGTGGAAGCAACATATATGTGGGGATACTTGACTTTTCACTGACAAGGAATCTTAAAAGATTTACTGTAAAGCTTCACTACAAATGATTTTTTTTTTTTTAATTTTTAAAAAAACCATTACAAAAATCTGATAGTTGTCCAAGACTTGATACTGGGGAAGAAATTGACCTTATATCAGGATGACATACAGCCACAGAATTAGTGTCTACATTGAGAATTAATTTTCACAGATAAATTCTGTCTAATGTGAATGAAATGTTTCTGTTTAGTAAAGATTAATGAAACTCTAAGTAAGCAAAACTAGTTGAGACATAACTCTCAATTATCTGATTAAAGGAAAAAAAAAAAAACGTCTGAAAGCAATTTATCTGATTTGTTCCGTTTTACAACAATGTGAAGCTTTGTGTCAGTCCATTATATAAAACTCCTGATTAAAAAGCACATAGGCAAGTCACTGTAAAAAAAAAAAATGTAGAGCTCAAGGGGTGTAAAAATGTAACAAAAAAGGAAGCTACAGATTATTTCTACGTCCATCACATCTACAGATGTGATGTATTTCCTGTGACCTTTACAGAGGAAGTTCTCAGCCTGAATGTGCCGACCGCAGGTGTGTTTTGTGCATTGTTTTTCTGCATTAGAATGTTTGTGTTCTTGGTTATAAGCAACTATTGGCAGCTCTACAATAAGCTGAGAGAGTGTGAACTCGGCGACAGATGGCTCACTAGAAAAAGAAAAAAAAAAACAAAAAAAAAACTGGTAGCCAATCAGCCATAATTCACGTCACATATATCTCCCCTGCATTTACGAGACTTTGGCTATCTAGAACAAGCACTGTAGGATTAATTAGGTCAGCTTGAGCTTTATAGTTGTCTGCTTCATTTTTGTTACATGTCAGTATGCTGATTTATTTTTAGGAGGAATATTCTGCCCCAGATGGCATTATCCAAGAAATACAGGAACTGATGAAGCAGGTTTCTTGGAAAATCAGATGCAGGTGATGCAAACCTACATTATAAATGCTTGATCTTGTGGTCCTGGTTGAATTGACTTGTTGTGCTGCGTCAGTTGAAACATTAGTCATTCTGCTTTAGTCTGCCCACAGCTCTTCTTAATGTAAAATTGCTTAAAGTGCTTAAAGGTTTCCTGCACATTCACAGAAATGCTGACTAAGTACATGCTCCGGTGTAGAGTAAAGTGTGGGACTGAATGCTTTGTGAATACCCACCATCCCCCACCCCCCACCCCCCAACTGTATCTCCTTGAACACCATATTCAATTATTTAAATAAAGAGAGGCAGCTACCCTTTATTTATTTTTTTTTATTAATGTCTCCATTTCACAACTCTGCAGGCATATCAGAATCTTTGCTAGCATACCCTCCATGTTTGTTCTTAGTTTTTTTCCTATTATTATGACTCATATCAAGATGCTCATAAGCAAACTAGGTCCACTTGTTGGTATTACGGCATATAAGTAAGGCAAATTTGCCATTAAAATCTAATACAAGTGAAACCGAATATTTAACTGCTCCCTGTGATGACCATTTGTCCCTCTATGACTGACATGAAATGGGATTAACTTTCTTTTACATCAGTTAGGATTACAAAAGTTCTAATTGCAAAATGCCAGGAAAAATTTGAGAGGAATTTTGATGCATTTTGCCCGATGCAGCTGGTGTAACAGTTGTTACCTTCTTGGGGGGAAAAGATTGGAGACTTTTTAATGGAAACACTCAAAGCATTGATTTCATTGTCTCTAAGCCACTTGGTCACGAAATGTCTCCCCATAGTAATGCCACTGCCTAGCTTAACACTTTTGATAGTGTTTTCATCTCCCAAATCCAAGTAAGCCTACATTGATAAAGGTTAGACAATTCATTTTTGCTTCAGTAGAAGCTTTGCTTTCTCTCTTTGACTGCAGGCATGACTTGCTGCTAACTCTGACTGCCTGTCAGGGCTTTGGATAAATTTGCAGCAGCCCTCACTGCTCGCTGAAGACGGTAAACTGAGAGCCATCTGTGCATTCTGTGGCTAAAGTCTCCAAGAACATAGAAAAAAGTCATTCAACTTGTTGCTAGTCACTTTCAAAGAAAAAACAGTTGCTAGTGGGATCTAAGAATGATCTAAATAATAGTGCCAAAGTCACAAAGTTGGTAACAGTTGTTGCTGAGTCAACAATTGGCCAGTGCATCTGTAAGTCTGGAGGGATAAGCTGAAGGACTTTCAATCTTCTTCAATAAAGTGAAATATCAGGCTCATGTATGGTTCCAAA